TAGGTCATTGTGATCTGTTCCCCCTTTCTCCTTTCCCCTTCCCCTCCTGGTATCACTATTCTCATTATTGGTGATGAGGGGTTTATCTGTCCGGGATTCCCTATGTTTCCAGTTCTTATCTTTACCCGTGTACATGCTCTGGTCTAGCCAGATTTGTAAGGTAGAATTGGGATCATGATGCGGGGAGGTGGGGGAAGCATTAAAGAACTAGAGGAAAGTTGTACGTTTCATAGGTGCTATGGTACACCCTGACTAGCTGGTCTCTTCCTTGTGACCCTCCTGAAAGGGAATGACCAATTGTCCACAGATGGGCTTTGGGTCTCCAATCTGCACTCCCCCTCATTCACAATGATGATTTTTAGTTCTGGTCTTTGATGCCTGATACCTGATCCTATTGACACCTCATAGAATGGCATCACACAGGCTGGTGTGCTTCTTCTACGTGAGCTTTGTTGCTTCTCAGTCAAATGGCCACTTGTTTATCTTCAAGCTTTTAAGATCCCAGACGCTATATCTTTTGATAGCCCGGCCCCATCAGCTTTCTTCACCACATTTGCTATGCATCCATTTTGTCTTCAGTGATTGTGTTGGGAAGCTGAACATCACAGAATGCCAGGTTATTAGAAGTGTTCTTGTGTTGAAGGAGTACTTGTACAAGCCCATTGTCCGTCTGCTACCATAATACTAAACCTATAAATATAGGTACATAGATCTATTTCCCTATCATTATAGATATAAATATATTTACATATATACATGCCTGTGTTTAGACTTCTATAAATGCCCCTTGCCTCCTAGTTATGTTCTCTATTTCCTTTTACTTTCCTTTTGTCCCACTATCATGCTCAGCCTTCATTCGGATTTCAGTAATTCCTCTCCATTACATTGCCCTTGATCAAGCCCTACCAGGCCTCCTACACCCTCCTTGTCATCGATTTTAGATCACTTGTTCCCTTGTCCCTGGGTTTGTTAACATCCACTTCCTTTCCCCACTTCCCCTCTTCCATGTCCCACTCAGAACCGTTGGTCCTGTTGTTTTCTCCTCTGGATTGTTTATCCCACTTATCTTATCTAGATAGACATGCAAAGACAATAATAAGCACAAAAACAAAACAAAGTAAAACAAATCAACAAAAGAAAACAAACAACAACAACAAAAATCAATGACAGAAAAGAAATGCCTATAAATAGTTCTAGGGCTGTTTGTTGACCTTTAGGCATGTTTTCCAGTCAAGTCTGATGGGGTGCCATGCCCTGGCCCCAAACTCTATATTTGGTATTCCCAGGGGACTTCATCGCTTTGCTCCTTTTGCTGCTCTGTTGCAAGCCCTTAGCGTTTCACTCCAGTGTGGTGGGATCAGATAGGGCACAATCCCCGAACTGTGCCTTCAGTGTTGTCCCTAGTAGCGCTATGGGTCAGTGAGGGATGTCTTGTCTTGTGGTGGGGCCGGCCCTATGGTCCTCTATGTGCATCAAAAGAATTTCTTAAAAGCATACATTCCCTTGCATATTTCCAAACAATATGTATACTCTCATATTAAATAGTTGAAAGAATTTAATTTCTGAAATAGGATATTGGTGGGGAAAAAACTGTTATATCATCTAAGAAACATTATCCAATGGGAACAACATTCCAAGTAATTTGAGGTTCATAATCATTCATTTAACACATAAGTAAGTTCTTCAATAGTCAGAATTTTTACATCATCTTTACCATTCAACTCATATTTCCATCCAGTTTCTCTGTAGACTTACTTATTTGTTTTCTTTAAGACAATATATTTTATGCTTATGTGTTTCCACTAACCATCCTATCAAACTTTTCTGCCAAAGAACACATCTATAATTTGGATTATCAAAGTTTTTTTATTTTTTAAGACTCTAAAGTATTCAAGATTTACTGTAGATCAAGTTAACATTGAATAGAACACAATGGATCAAAATAGCACAGATTTTTATCAATGAATAGATAAAAACTAAATACAATTTTATTGGTTATATTTAGAAGAAGCCAGCTGGACTCAGTTCAGATGATCCAATTTTGTTGGCAACATCTAAACGCATTAGAGTCAGGAGGCAGTTGAATGCACACCTTCTTCTTGCTGTCAGGTCTGATCAAGGTGTTGGGTTTGACTACGTCAATGTCATGGAGCTTCTTCGCAGCCTCTTTGATCTGGTGCTTGTTGGTCTTGACATCCACGGTGAACACAAGTGTGCTGTTATCCTCAGTCTTCTCTGTGGCTGATTCTGTGGCCTGGGGGAACTTGATGATGCAGAGCGATCAAGCTTGTTGCTCCTGGGGGTGCTCTTCTGAGGGTGTTTGGGCTGCCTTCTTAGCCTGTGTCATGGGCAGCTGGGAGGTGGGTGACATGTGGATCTTCTTTTTGTGGCTGTGGGTGGCTTGCAGCCTGGCCTTCTGGGCCTGTTAAGCTTTGGTTTGGCTTCAGCATTGGAAAGGGCAGGGGCTTCCTTCTTTGTATTCTATGCCAACTTTGTAAAAAGAGTTACATTTCAATAAGTAGACATTGCATATAAATATTCATCTTTAGGGGAGCAGATTACCAGGCCTTTCACCCTCAGAGCGTTACATGGGTTCAGACTGCCAGACTGCCAATTAGTAGATGAGCACTTAATCACTGAGCAGCATCTGGAAAGGGGAAGGCAACATTGGAACGCTGATGAAGTTTGGGGGTCTGGCTTACATCCGGTCCTTCGATGCAGATGTTTAATTATGATTGGGTAAGGATTATGGTATGATGGCTTAGAATTGTGCAACCAACAGGGTGTGGGCACAACAGTTTTGAAGAGTCTTAGAAGGTCAAGTCATTGGATATCTTGTTTACTGGAAAGTTAAGCAGTTTTTAAATGGTTTTACCAGATGTTCTTAAATGAACTACAAAGTTCCTGTTTCAAGGCAAGAGTATTCTAGGAAGGGAATACTGAACCCATATTGATGACGCCAGTGGGAGAGTTACGTTTGTGTCGACAGTAAGCTGTGTGAGTATTGATGGTTCTCAGTTTTCTTCCAGAAATATCCTAGGCATAAACATGCATGGACACATTTAAGAAATATGATATCTTACCTCTACATTTTTGTGGCAGAAACTGTGGAGGAGATAGTCCCTAAATATGACTATTCATTCTGGCTTTTGCTCTGTGGGTCTATGTGGTATAATTTTTCCAGAGTATGCATATTTTAAATTTTAATCTTCTGTGTGGAATGGAATTATTATTTGAAATATTCTACTAGTATTTTTTTCTTCAGTGATCTTTAGCAAAACATGTGGGGCACATTTTCATTTTTTTTCTTTTCTGTTCTACCAAAGAGCACTATTTTAGGGCTATGGGTCCAGGGATGAGAAATAATTAATCCATGCTGTTGGGGGAGAAATGACCCCAAATTCAAATATACTTTTAGTTAATCTTAAACAGGACAAAGACAAAAATTGATCATCTGGATAAGGCCAGAGGATTCATGGCCATGTTGCTAATTAGAGGACATAGAAAACAAAGAACATTCATCAAAGAATCATGATTGGCGGCAAATCGTTCCATCGTGATCCCAGCTAGCCTGTGGAAGACGCAAAAGGACTGTGGTTGGGAGACACCACCACTGCAGGGTAGCAAAGCTACAGGACTGTGTGTTAGACAGGGTTCTCTAGAGAGATAAAACCAAATTGCTGATAATTTAATATGCTTCTTTATAAATATAATTAGATATATAACAAGAAATGAACTGTTAATCATATACAGATAAATATATAATACAAGAAATGAACAGTTAAATTATAAAGCAGTACAAATGGCTCAGTGCAACTCACTCC